TGGGTATAAATCAGCGTTTACAGAACCAACTCAGGTGGGGCTGAGACCTTGAAACTCAAAAGGGCTGGCTCTGTTTTCAAGATTGAAGATGAGGTGGTGAACACGTCAACCGAGTCCTGGTTTATCCCACACCACATGGTGACGCACAACGGGAAAAATAGGATTGTGTTTAACTGCTTCTACACCTACAGAGGCCAAAACCTCAATGGGTTACTGCTACCTGGTCCGACCCTTACCTCCACCCTTCTTGGTGTCCTGCTAAGATTCCAGGAACATGCCATCGCCCTCAGCAGTGTCATCAATGGCATGTTCCACCAAGTGCGGTTGTTACCAGAGGACAGACCTTTGCTGCGCTTCTTGTTGAGGAATCTGAAAAGAGAAGTACCAGCAGACATCTATGAAAAGCAAATTCTCCCCTTTGGGACCACATGCCGTGCCTGCTGTGCAATGTATGCACTGCAGAAGCATGCAGCAGACAACTGTCAACCAGGAGGTGAAGTTTGTGTTGCCATTGAGTGGTGCTTCTATGTAGTCACTTGCAAAGCCTCCCCTCCACTGAAGAAGCCCGTCAGCTGGTTGACAAGGCTCAGCTTGTCACAGGTGGCTGTGATCTGTGCCAATGGGAAAGCAATGCCCCGGAAGTCATCAGCCACCTGCCGAAGGATCTGAGAGCAAGGAGCTATGTTTTACAGAATCCCATGGAGATCCTCAAGAGGTCACCCTTGGACTCGTTGGCTGTGTGCGTCAGACACTCTAGGCTACAAGTATTGCCTCGCGGAAAACCCTATGCCTACCATGAGGAACATCTACAGCACCCTGGCAAGGCTTTATGCGAGCCAAGATCATTGTGCAGTACCTATGGAAGAAAGAAGGTAAGAGAATGTGATGATCCCTCCTTGCCAGAGGATGCTCTTAAGGCTTGGTTGAGTTGTTAAGTCCAGCTGAAACACCTTCCAGAGATTGTTCTGCCTTGTTGCTATGCAAGCCCCCCTCTGGACAAGCCTGCAAGTCTTCTGTGACACTTCTGAGAAAGCCTATGGTTCAGTAGCGTACTTGCATACAGAAATACCAGGCAAGAAGGTGGAAGTAGCTTTCCTGACAGCGTAGCCCCCAAGCGCCAGCAGACAATGCCCAGGCTGGAACTGTGTGCAGCCTTGACAGGTGCCCAGCTGATTAAGCTCCTGAAGCATGAGCTAACCCTGGGACTTGATGAGGTGCTTCATGAGGACTTGGATGGACTCAACCACCGTCCTGATTTGGATCGAGTTAGACTCCTGCCGATTCAAGGTGTTCGTGGGTGCCAGAGTCACTGAAATCCAGGAGATGACCGAGGCCCAATCCTGAAGGTACATGGACTCTGCAAACAATTCCGCAGACGACATAACCCATGGGAAGAGCCTAAGAGACCTTGCAGGGAAAAGCAGCCATTGGAGCCACGGCCCAGCATTCCTGCATAAGTCCCCTGAGCACT